CATACACATTTACAGTTTGCAGCCTCAGCTGGGCCTGTGGTGTTTCACTTGACCATGGTTCTTGCACCTCCCTCCTGTTTGTTCATGTTAGCCAGTTTGATTGTCACAATTCTCCCTAAGCTCTATGCTATCCCTCATCTCAGCCCCAGCTGTCGATTTCATTCTACCTACCCTCCCTTTCTGCTTCCTGACTGCATTCACAGTAAGCTCTTTGAAAAGTGACCCTTTCCTCCATTTGCTTTGTTACTGTTTTGGCAAAGTCAGTGATCATTTCTTTCCTGGGTTATTGCAACTTTCTAACAGATCTCCCTGCCTACAGCCTTGCCTTTCTCTGGCATCTGTCTGTTCTCTTACAGCATATCTATTCCTTCTAATCTTACTTCCATAAGCTGGTGACTCCCAAAACCCTCTTCCTACCCTGACTGATCTCCTAAACTACAGCTCCATAGTTACAACTACCTTCTGAATATCTCCAAGTGTACATTCTGCAGACTTCATATGTCTAATATATCAAAAACTAAATTATTTAATTTCCCTCCCTGCAACTTACTCCTCCCCAGCACTAAGTTTGAATCTGTCCTAGTGGGCGCCTTCCTTTTACTCACCAATCTCCCTTAGACAGCAAGTATAACAGCTAAGCACTGTTATTGTGCTTCCAAATATCTCTCGACTATCCCATCCTTTTCTCTGTAATCTTAAAATCTTCATCATTTTTGACTGGGATCACGAATATAGCCTACTAACAATTCTTGTTTCCTCAACTTCACTCCCCATTAAAACATCTTTGTTAGGGACCCCAGAGCAATATTTCTAAAACATGCATAAATAATTTAGTATAAAAAGGCAAGAAGTCTCTGATAAATTTTTTCCTGATTTATATTTATTAAAAAAACATGAAAAGATGATATAACACTGGCAATTAAGATGAACAGTAAACTAACACCAGGATTCAGAAAACATTAAAAAATAATCCCCACTCATGCAAAGTCAATGGCACTGACAAATTCCAAGTAAGCCTGCGTACTAGAAAGAAGAGGAAGAAGGAATATACATTTGTTGTGTACCTACTACGAGTTAAGTAATCTAGTAGGTCCTTTAGATAGGCAAGGAAACAAATGCATCACAACTCATTGAATCAGAAATGCACTTTTCAGATGGGCAAACGCTATATTCCTCGTGGTAGGTGAAGAAAATCTTCAAGTAAAAGGTTCCTTCATACTTCCATATTCTAGCCACACCATTAGGACCCCATGCACCACTCCTCTAAGCCTGCAAACTCTAAAGAACTGGGTAGGAAATAGAATGCAAGCATAATAATAATAATAGCACATTTAATTCTAGAAGAAGGTGTACTTCTTTAATTCGAGAAGGCATGCAAGTGGGTTATTATAGATATATACAAGATTTGTAGAAGAAGTATATGCTGAAGAATGTAGCTTTTGATGTATGTGTGTGCTCAAAATGTCATATTACAGGCAGTGGAAAGTAAAAGTGGATCACATCTTAGATAGTGACATTAGACTAACAGTTGCAGGTAGTAAAACCTGGGAAGGAACTCCATACACCAACCAGCCATTGTCCCTATAGACCTGAGAAGGAGACTCAACCATCACTAAAAGTAAACAGACTGAAGCCAAAAGGGAAAGCATATATCCAGTGTGTTGGCAAACACCAAAAATGAATAGATAGAAATATAAAACGAGAAGGGGAAAAAAGCTGGAACTCTGGGGAAATAATTAAATAAGCGATGGCAAACTGGGGAAGCTTACATTAAACTGAAGGTCCAGTGAAAGAAATGGAATTTTGAAAACATAAATTTAAAATGTGTGTATTTGTTGTGTGAATTAGAACGCAGGAAATCACAACATTTATGAAACAGAAGAGAAAGCCATAAAGGTCAGATAAAAAAAACAGTAGAATCACAGAAAAAGAGATCTAGTTAAATAAGGATGGAGTGCTTTCTCCTTTTTTCCCCCTTTATTTTATTTTAAAGATGTGGAGTACAAGTCAGGATTAGGAACATAAGTTGTCTACGTGAAGGTGAAGTTTGGGCCTCCCAAGGGTCCTCGCTTCCCCTGGTTTAGGATCAGGTACACTTAGTGATGTCATATGCCTCTCCCCCATCCCCTGTAAGTGTCCCCCTGCTGCTACTGCTGCTGATCTCTCTCTCTCTCTCTCTCTCTCTCTCTCTCTCTCTCTCTCTCTCTCTCTCTCGTAGTATTGTGGTAAATGTTCAGGACACACTTATGAGGGAACATGTGGCATTCAGTTCTTTCTTTCTGTGATAGATCACTGAATATCGTGGGGTTGCTTTCTTAAGCTAAAATACAATGATAGAGTTAAAATACACATTGGACAGCATAAATGACACTATTAACACCATGGGAAGTCAAACGGGTGATGGAGTGGCCATGTTTAAAATATTTTTCTAAAATAATGCATACAAAGAAAAGAACTAAATGATAGCTATGTGGGAAAGGTGACAAAGATCTAAACAAGCAGTGATAATCAACACACGGCATCTTTCAAATCACTTTACATATATTCTGCACACTTAATTTTCTTAATTTTCTCTGTATCCCATCCCATATTTACAGATATAGAAACCAAGTAAGAAAAGGGTAAATTGACTTAGCCCAAGATCTCAAAGCTAGTAGGGAGAGAGGAAAGATTACAACCCAAATCAAAGCCTATTGTTAGTCACTATGCATAGAATGTCCCTCAAAAAGAACATCTAGAAAAAAAGAGAGAGCATTTAATTGACAGAAGTTTTGAAAAGTTACATCAAACATCAGAATAAATACATAAAAATAAACATAAACTAGACAAAATTTTATGTGATGAAAATAAAGAAAAGGAATAGCTTACACAGCTTTTTTCAGCAATAATAATTGGCAAAAGCAGTTGAGAAAAACTTTTTGAGCCAGTAATTTAATATTCAGCCAAGTTATTATTCATATGTGAAGGCAACTGAAGAGCATTCTTAGATACTCAAAGATTCAGAAATATATCACCCTTGCAATATTTATTTTTAAAAAAGACTTACTTAAAAATGTTTGCATTCTACACTTAAATGGAAAAAGTAGATTATAAAACAACAGGTATTAAAATATCACATTGTACCCCATAAATACATACAATTATTATTTGTCAATTAAGAATTTTTAAAAATAAAAATAATAGGTATGCTTTAAGCCATTTTTTGAGAAAAGCACATCTTCACAAATATATGCATTAAAAAACTCAAAAAAGTTATATACCAAAATGATAATATATATAAAAAGTTTTGTTTTTGTTTATTTGTTTTGGTTGTTATTGGTTGTTGTTTTTCTTGGCAATCAAGAGATGAATCAAAGTTAGGAACTTAAGAATACTAAACTATAATAAACATAGAATCAAGCCGGGCTCGGTGGCTCAGCCTGTAATCCTGCGCCTTTGGGAGGCTGAGGTGAGTGGATTGCCTGAGCCCGTGGGTTCGAGACCCGCCTGGGCAGCGAGACCTTATCTCTACAATAAATCAAAAAATCAGCCGGGCGTGGTAGCGCATGCCTGTAATTCCGGCTACTTGGAAGGCTGACGCGGAAGGATAGCCAGAGTCCAGCAGGTCGAGGCTGCGGTGGCCGGGAGTGGCCACTGCACTCCAGTCTGGGCAACAGAGTGAGGCTCCAACTCAAAAAAAATAAAATAAAATAAAAATAAACATAAAATCAAGTTGAAACACTTGATAATAAAACTAAATAAGAAAACACAAGAAAAATAGTTATGTTCTAATAATAATCTAGTATAGAATCCAACTTTTTGTAAAAAAAAAAAAAAATACATCAGTATAGTACAAAGGGTTAAAGTGAGTAAAATATTTTTACATATTTCATTATACATGTGGGCTCAAAAAATACCACGGAAAAAAGAATAAAAACAAGCATTTTAGAAGAAGAATCTTTAGTGGTCCATAAACATGAAAAGCTATTCATCCTCTTTAAGAAAAGACAAATTAAAATAGCAATGTAACATTATTTTCTCACACATTAACTTGGTATAATATCCAGTGCTGTTGAAAGCATAGGGGAACTTGACCACAGTAAAAATCTGTAGAGATGCTGAGAGATGCGGGCCTTCAGAACACCTAGTAAAATTTGCAATGTGCATAACATTTATCCCAAACAATCTCACTCATCGTATTCCTCTATCCCAAAGAAATATTTGAACATGGACACAAGGAAGCATTTGCAAAAATATTTATCATATCATTATTTGTAACAACCAAACATTGGAAGCATGTAAATGTTAAATTAAAAAGGGAATGAGGCGGGGTTCGGCAGCTCAGCCTGTCATCCCACCACTGTGGGAGGCCGAGGCAAGTGGATTGCCTGAGCCCGCGAGTTCAAGGCCAGCCCCGGCAACTTGGTGAGACCTGGTCTCTACCATAAATCAAAAATTAGCCAGGGGTGTAGTAGCAGGCGCCTGTAGTTTTAGCTACTTGGAAGGCTGAAGTGAAAAGATCGCCGGAGCCTGGCAGGTCAATGCTCGGGTGGCCGTGAGCTTGCCACTGCACCCCAGCCTGGGTGATGGAGAGAGACTCCAGCTCAAAAAAAAAAAAAGAGGAATGAATTAAATCGGTGTAAATACATCCTGATGGCATTATTCTAGTATTCCATACTAGGGAATACTGTGTCTAAGAGAAGGAGAACACCATGTACTGGCATATAACCACCTCCAAGATCCACAGTTTTGTGAAAAAATCAAAATGCAGGAAAATGTATACAAGATCATATCATTTACAGACAATTCCACAAAGCATAAAAGATTTATATTATATCTGTCTTAAATATATAAATATAACAATGCCTGTTAAAACCTAGGAGGAAATGAAGAAATAAGGAAAAGAGGATTTTTAAAATTTAATTTTGACCGTTTTATAATTCTATATGGGATTCTTTTAAAAATAAGTAGATATCTGTCATAACCCCAGGTTTCCCAGAAAACAGAGGCTAAAGCAAACCTTCTGTCTTAATTCTTTATTAAGGAAAAGGGGCAGGCTGAGAAGAGGTAGGCAATCCCAAGGCAGCAAGAGTGAGACAAATAGGAAACTGAGGCACAGAAGCAAGAAAAGCAAAAAACAATGTGGGACAGGAAGAATCTGGCCTAACTTCCCAGGAAAACATAGCAGGTCTCATGGAAGACCTGCACCTTGGAGCAGTTGGAGTGGGATGGGGCGTGAACTAGAGAACCTGCCCTCTCATGTCCTATTCCTGGTTGGTCAACTTTTCTCCTGAGCGAACTCCCCTGAACTCCTGGGTTGTATTAATCTTCCCCTCTCTATAGTTGTTGGGAAATGCAGATCTCACACCCAATGTTCTGTGCTCATCTGAAGGCAGAACCAGTAGGAAGAAACAGGACTGTCAGACGTTCAGTGGAGTAGAGCCCAGTTTAGGTGCTGCTACAGGTTCTCCTTCACTGGGTGCAGTAAAGCTCGACTTCTTGCCAGGGAAATCTGAGACAGCAAATGAGATTTGCGAGGAGGTGACTTCATGGTGAGACAGTCAAAGATCGTCCCTGAGAAAGTAGACAAGACCTTGGGAAGCAAGTGGGGACAAGTGACTCTAGGAAGCTGCATAAATGTTTAATTCTATAATATGCTTATTAAATTATGTAAGTATATTAATTGTAGAATCAAAACTGAATAATTAAACAAAGTTAGTAACATATTTTTATCTTCAATAGTAAGGAAAACAAAATAAGTATTTTTTTTAAGATGGAAATTTATCACTCATAGATTTAAAAATGGGATACTGACTTTCCAAATTCCTAAACAAGTAAAAACTACCATACAGTCTCTAACAGAAATAAAAGGAGACTACTCATAGATTTCAAAATGGGATACCGACTTTCCAAGTTCCTAGACAAGTAAAAACTACATATAGTCTCTAAAAGAAATAAAAGGAGACTGCAAGGAAGCATAAAAATCAAGAGCCATAAAACAAAGTACCAAAAAGAAAGAATACGTTTCAATTATGCTGAATGGTTAAGACACCATCCAAAGTCAAGGGGCATACATAGTACTAAAGCAAGCAAACAAAGCAATATTCATTTATTGGTAAACTTTCCTCATCAGTTTTTAGACCTTTCAGTTCACAAACTAAGATATTACCTTTATCTAAGGCAGAGTATCTCTCGCTGTCAATAAAAAGAGCCCCCCAAATACATAGATGAATATACCTGAATATTCTTAGAGTCTATGCCAAAAAATCCAGTGTCCAGTGCTGAGCCATTTGGAAGTCTGAATCTAAAGGCTTCATTAAATTACTTTGAATAGCATTCAAGTTGTCTGTAACAGTAGAAATAAAAGTTATGTCCTTGGTTTCTAGTATAGGGAAACAAAAAGCACAAAAACCATAGTGGCATTAGGATGGAGTGAAGAGAGGAAGGGTTTGAAGTCATATGCTTATGAAGAAGAACCTTTGGGAGATTTGCTTTTCGTTTTTTGTTTTTTTTTCTTTATTTTTAAAAATCTTGGCATAAGACTGAAAAGAAATATAAAGACAACAAGAAAAATTTTCCGGTAACAATTCAAATAAGACTTTTAAGAGAGTTTACTCTGATTAAGATCTTTATTTTTGTGCCTCTGCACCACAATAGCTATTTGTCTCCAAACCTTTTTAAAATTCTTATATATTTTTATACACTATTATAAATAAAACCTAAAATTTTTCCCTCCCTCATTCGAGGATTATTAGAAAATCTTCCAAAGTCAATATCTAAATCTTTGAGATAATTATTGCACATCAAAAACGTACATCTGCCTTCAAAATCCAAACCACTTATCTTTAGAAAAATTTTCTGTTAAAATAAAAGGCAGTTGTTCCATTTTTTTCTGTTTCTTTCTATGCTTGATATGAACTTCACCCCGAGACATACAAAATGTAAGGAACAAAAACATACACCCGGGATAAGAGCACAAAGACTATCAAAAACTTTTTCATGGCTATAAGTAACCCACAGGTTACCATGGAGACTACTTGCAGGACATTAATTTTTTCCCAAGGAATGGTCTTGACATGGATCTTAATATATTCATAGATAAACAGAACAGCTATGCTATGATATGTTCAGTTCTAGATTCTTTCTGAAAATAATTTCATGGCATTAATGATTCTATATTCCAAGATACTTAAGCACTAGCACTGTTAGTTATTCATTTTAGGAATTTCAAAAAAATTGAGTTCAGTACACACATACATACATCAGCTAGCCAGTTCCCGGGAATTTAAGAGGAAGAAGAAAGAGGGAGGGAAGAACATGATGATACACAAGACCCTCCTTTCCAAAAGCTTCAAATGCCACTACTTGACATTTATCATTAGGGATTTAAGCTTTTGCAATTACCAGAGAGGGGGATTCCACACTGTAAGCTAATGCCAAGAGGCATGAAATGAAGCGGCAACCACTTGAAAAAGAAATACAGGAAAGTTAAAATAGAGGATGAAGAGCTTAGGATGGAAAGGGCCACTGAGGGGTACATAACTGAAAGTTTAAAAATTGAAAAGCAAACACCGACAAACTCCACATGTCAACTTTTTCCTTGGATAAAATTCCATGTATTGGTCAGGAAAAAAGAGAAATGAGAACCAAACCAAATAAAATATGCATTATGCACCTACCATATATATCCTTTGCATAACTGTGGGCTGTAAGGAAGAAACAAAAAGTAGAAATGAAAGTAGGAAGATAGAAAGAAGGCATAGTAACAGAAATAAAAGCTACAGCAATAACTAAGAAACTGTTGAGCAAAATCTTAAGCTACACTAAATTTTAGTATGTCTAATTCCATGTTCAGTTTTATTTGAAGATTTGAGACTTTTATGATATAGATATAAAATGGTACCTGATACTGGTTACTTCTCACCCTCAAGAGCTGCATGAGGAGAACTGTGTAATAATGTGTGCGAATTTTTTAAAAATCCACCCAAACGCTGCTTTGGGTAGATACCAATCTACAGTTGTCAGAGAACAAAACTGAAGCAATATGAGTTCTTAGAAATAATCATGCAATGTACAAAATAGAAAGAAATACCAGGTACTTTCTTCTCTCTCAATTCTTAAAAAGAGTATTTCCTACTTTTCTACCTTATCTCTTATGACATGGGCAATTGGGGTTTTGATCAGGAATTGGTTGCCAGTTCAAACTGACAAGCTTCTGCAAAGGCAAAGAAACCATCAAGAGAATGCAGAAACAGCCCACAGAATGAAAAAATATTTGTCAACTGTGTATCTGACAAAGGCCTAACATCTAGGATCTACAAGGAACTCAAATGTGCTGAAAAGAAAAGAACAAACAGCCACATTACAAAGTGGGCAAAAGACATGAATAGACACTTCTCAAAAGAAGAGATACGGGCAGCCAATAGACACATGAAAAAGTGCTCAGCCTCACTCATCATCAGAGAAATGCAAGTCAAAACTACATTGAGATACCACCTAACCCCAATAAAAATGACCATCATTAATAAAGCAAATAACAACAGATGCTGGTGAGGATGTGGAGAAAAAAGAACGCTTCTACACTGCTGGTGGGAATGCAAATTAGTGCAGTCTCTTTGGAAAACAGTGTGGCGATTTCTGAAAGAACTAGAAATTGACCTTCCATGTGACCCAGCAATTCCCCTAATGGGAATATACCTGGAGGAATTCAAATCATTCTACAAAAAAGATACCTGCATACACATGTTTATTGCAGCACTATTCACAATAGCAAAAACATGGAACCAACCATGTTACCCATCGAAATTGAACTGGATTAAAAAAAAGTGGTACACATACACAGTGCAATATTATAAAGCCATAAAGAAAGACAAACATATGGACTTTGCAGCAACTTTGGTGGATTTAGAGCCTATCATACTCAGTGATTTATCACAGAAACAAAGAACAGAATACCATATTCTCACTCACAAGTGGACCCTTAACAATTATCACAATACTATAAGAAAGGGATTGGCAGTAGTGGGAAACTGCCAGGGGAGGGGTAGCCACTTCATCAACAAGGGTACCTGCATAATGAACATGTGTATACCCAACCCTGAATTGTACCCCACATCTTTAAAATAAGTTTTTTTAAAAAAATCAAATTTTAAAAAAGAGTATTTCCTAAAACTATCTCCTCACACTCCTAGGAGTTATAAAGCCTAGGGAAATGTAATCGGTGACCTTACTAAAACAGAGTCCATGTCTACTTAAGTAACCTTTCAAAACCTCGGTATCCCTTTTTTTTTTTTTTTTTGTAGCAGCATCTTCTTATTCATTTTGTCAGCAAATTCTTGTTGAACATCAACTATGAGCAAATTGTGTTGCCTGAAATGAAGTATATAAAGTTTAGATGCTTACTTACAGAGCTTGAAGATTTGCTGAAAAATAAGACGTGCAAAAAAAAAAAAAAAAAAAAACTGCCATGCAAGACAAAAAGTGATAATGTCAAAAGAAAAATAAAAACAAAATTTGAGTGAAGTTCAGCGGAAGCAGAAATCATCCTATAATATTGAGAAGAAACAAGGATCTTTTTCGTGGAGTTCTTACCAGCCAAGTGGAACCTTGAAGAACAAGTAGAATCTCTATAGTTGTGGATAGAAGGTGAATAAATTTCAAAGGAAGGAAACAGTACAATGAAAGGAACAAATATTGAAAAATCACAGGAGGTATTTGGGGAAGTCCATATAGTTCAGTTTTGCATATGTAATGATGGCACAAAAATATTAACATAAAAACGCTGGGCTTTCAGGATTTTTCTAGGAGCCACCAGCTCACATTCAGATTTTCAAGAAATGCTTTGAAATAAGCCACAAATTATCTTATTATTATTATAAATAATAGAATAAAATTTAGACCTGGGACATTTTAGCTCAACTCTCTGTTTTAGCAAAATCACAAATTAAATTTCAAAGAGGTTAAGGGATATTTCCAAGTTCACACAGCTAATTAATGGCATCATTGAGACCCATATTGGAGTGTATTATTCCAGTCTGGGAGAAAAAATTTTTCCTGGCAGGTAAATACTCTGTTACTCCACATCCTACCTCTCACTATCTCCTCATTCATGCCTAAGTATGCATCGGTTCACATGCTGTCCCAAGTAGTCTGTGACCTAGGAAGGAGGTATTCTCTGTAAGATGCTAATTGGTTCACATAGGGAGTCAATCTCTACCTTGGCCTCATTAGTTTCCGGTTCTAATCAACTCCTGGACAGGGTCTTTAATAACTAAGAGGGTCAAAACAGATAGTCGACAAGAAAAGGAATTTATTTTAAAAACCAATAGCACTTGAAAAGCATTAAACATAACTTTCTTAGATTTGACTCCCTCTAGAGTATGTTGAAGGAAAAGACTTGATCCAGTAAATTTTTTTCAATACACATTTTAAAATTCATGCTGCAAAACGATTCCTCCCCACACCCCCCACCAAAATTACATGTTTTCCTAAAAAGAAAAAAAAAGAAAGAAAAAACAATTCAGTCTCTTTAAATGGAAAGTACTTAAATATTTCTATTGAGTAAACTACTGATTTATATCTCTAACTCATTCACCTATGGTACCAGGACCAGAGATCTCTAAAGAAAGATCATTAAATACTGGTGCTGTGATTTAAAGTTTTAAAATTTAAAATTTCCAAATTTACAGTGGTAGTTTTTTTTAGTGTGAGTCAGATGCTGTTTTTTAATGAACTAGCATTTAATAAATGCTATCAAATCAAATAAACTAATTATGAAGCCTTTATTTCTACAATTTAAAGTTCACTAACTGAATTCAGTGATATTCAATTTCTCACATCTCTGATGAATATAAACTCACTTGTAAATGCGCAAGTTGCATGTTCTTTGATGCCAGGTTCCATATTGCAAAAAGGAAAAGAATGCAAGATTGGAGACTTGCTTAATTCTAAAATCTTAACACTTGCATACATTTAAGAGAACTATTTCATACGTTTTTCATTTTAAATCTCAGGTAGACTTATTCAACATAGCAAAAATTTTCTTAATGTCATTGTAGTATTAATTACCATATGTCAATTATAATAAAAGTCTTTATAAAATCCCTTATAGGAATAATACCCATGCTAAGATAATCAATTACATCAGATCTCTTCTGTCCTTTCTAGCAGGAAATCTGTATTAAATATATACCCAAACACACACATATAATGTTAATCTATGGATATATTTGTGGATTTTGATGAGTTCTGTTTGATAAACTTTTATCTTATGTTGATAGATTCTATTGCAGAGTTATTTTAGCACCTATTACATACATC